AAAAAAAAAAAAAAGAACAAAAGCCTTGTGACAGACTCCCGCTGCCAATGAAAGAAGCTCAGACCCCCCGCCGGTCAATAGGCTCTGAGTCGGCCCACTTCCTCTGTGCTCAGTTCTTGGACCTCCAGGTTCTGTGCAAACCTACTTGTGTTTCCTGTGCCACCCCACATTGTCCAGCCTGGCATTTGTGCACAGGTCATTTCTACCCCTGGAAGGCCTTGCCTCCCCTCTTCCCTCTGATAGAACTCTATCCTCCATCCCAAGGACCACCTGCATCCCCTGCCCACCCGTCACAGTTCTGTCCCCACCTGACAGTCCCCTCCCTTCCCTTGCTGCCTTCTCTGTTTCGATGATCTTGGGAGACTGGACAGGCCTCTGTACTTAACAGGTGCTTAACAAAGGGCCAGGTTGAGATGAATTGAATTACATTGAGGTTGGGGGCCGGTAGAAGCAGAGATGATTGAAGAGCCCCAGAGACACCTGGCTCTCCTTCCTCCCTGCAGCTAGGGGCCCGGTGTCCCCTCCAAGGACAGCAGAAACCTCCGCTGCTGCCTGAGTCCAGGCTGCTGATGCCCCTGGGCCATCGCACCGCTGCTCCAGGTTTGGACTCTTCCATGGCCCCACTGGAGGGCAGAGCTGTGGGCAGAGCTGACTGGTGAGCTAAGAGGGTGGGAGCGGCCGTGCTTCCCGTCCCTGAGGCAGGGCATAGGGTGCCCCGCTGTCCCAAGTTGCCCAGGACTGAGGGGTTTCTTGGGGCACACAGCTTTCTGTGCTTAAACTTGGAGAGTCCCAGGCAAACTGGGATGATTGGTTGCCCTAGCTGGGTGTGAGTCCTGCCTGTGGGCCTCTGGGACCGGGCCTGCTGCCACACAGGGTCACATCTACTGAGCCGACAGTCCTGCTCTCTGCAGCATGGTATGCAGGATAGGGCAGCCCTATACCCCAGATCATGAGACAAACAGCATTTTGGGCCAACACAGGACCAGCACTCAGCCTGGAAACTATGTGTTCCCTCAGAGTTCTCACTGTACCTTCCCCCTCTAGGTCTCTCCATTCTTCCAGACTAGTCCTGCCCCAGGACGCCTCCTCCCAACCCACAGGACACCTCCCCATGTCCTTTCCTATAGTGAGACCCACCACTGTTTCAAGGACTGGCTGCAGTCAGCTCCTCCACACCCCAGCCCAAAGACGGACTCCCCACTCCTCTGGGCTTAACTCCTTTCTCCCAGCTCCTGATCATCTTTCTCCCAGTGACACTGTGGGTTCATTCCTCCATTCCTTCATTCACTCATCCGGTGAGAATTAATCCTCTGGTGCTGGGTTAAGAGAACATGCTAGAGTCCCACTGACTTGGCTGAATCCTGGCTCCGCCACTTAAGAGTGGCTGTGTGATTCTGAACAAATCACTTCACCTCTCTGGGCCTCAGTTTCTTAATGGAAAACATGGGAATTCTAAGAATTAACAGCGACCTCACAGCATTGCTGGAGCATTACATGATTCAATAATTGAACAGTTCTTGGATCAATGCTTGGCACAGAGTAAGCTCGATCTACCCTTTGCCATTAAGAAACTACTGTGTACCAGATACTTTGAGGGAGCAGGAATATGCAGATGACAGGTGCTGACGGTCTAGTCGACAGGCAGACAAGGAAGCCAACTGCCACGCAGGGTGACTAATGGAAGAGCTATGGCCACACAGAGGAGAGAGCGGTTACTCAGCCTGGACTGGAGGCAGAACTGGGGAGGCTCCTCCGAGGTGGTGAGCCAACAATGCAAAAATGTGCCGAAGGAGGGGGGTGCAAAGGCCCGGGAGTGCGGGGCGGCCTTTGCCGGCCTGGAATGGGGGCGGCGGCATGCAGGGGCCCCGTGTGTGCAGACTGTGAGGGCAGGCATGAGAAAGAGCCCTGATTGAGGAGAGGGCATGTCCAAGGAGCCTGGACTTCCTCCATGGCAGTGGGGAAGCCCCTGGAGGTTTTAAGCAGGAGAATGGATTGCATTCTGGACAGAACACGCTGGGGGACCATGGCCCGCAGACTAGAGCAGAGACTGGAGGAGGCCAAGCCCGGGCTCACCGAGCCGCCGAGCAGCAGCATGGCGCACAGCAAAACACAGTCTGACCAGGGCCCTTGGGCCTCTGGTCCTGGTAGGATACCTGCCCACGGCACCTATGCATCCCCAACTTCTGGGCAGGGCCAGATTTCAGAGTTGCATGCCCTAAGGCCCTATAGATCTACCCCCACTCCCTCCTGCAGCACCGCCTGACTGTGGATTCCAATTCTGGCCCCTCGCGCTGGCCTTCCTTCTCACCCTTGCAACAGGCTCACTCTTGCCAAAGCCTCAGCCCCAGCCTCAGCTCACCCTGACCTGAGCAAGCCCATCCCCTTCTCCCCTGTCTCCCCGCCCCTAGCCTCAGAGGCCTCCCAGTTGCTGGGCCGGGACTTGCCCTGTCTCATTTTCCCATCCATGACTCACGCATCAGATGGGGGTGAGGCCAGGGGGAGAGAAGGCAGCAGGCCCTCGCTGGCCTTACGGCGTCCTCAGGCCCAACTGAGCGGTTTTTCCATTTCATACATGTCTGCTGGCACTGTCAGGGCCTGTTTGTGCCCCCGAAGAGGCCTTGACCCTACTCTGCGGTCCAGCCAAGCATTCCTAGGGTGAAGGTCTATGCTCCATTTTTAGAATTCGGAGTTGCCGGACCAGTGAAGACACCCCTGAATTCATGAAGCAGGGTGTCTCCCTCCACAGCAGAGAGACAACGCTCCCCAGAGGTCACAGATCCTTAAAAAAAACTAAATTCAGCCTGTGAGCCCCCAGTGTCTGTGCTGCGGGTTCTTGGAGCCTTCAGGAAGCTACGGGACTTTTACAAATGGGAGGGAGTGTTCTTTCCCATGGCAACAACCACCATCTCTATTAATGTATATTGAGGACCTACTACATTCTAGGGTCTGTGTGAAGGGTTCTAATCGCAGCACGTCCTTCAGAGGGGCTGGGACTCTCCTAGCAAGGGGAGAAACCGAAGCTGGGTTTAGGCAGGAACCAAAGCATAGTTGGAACCGACAGGGCTGGGTTCCAGACTCTCCTAGCAAGGGGAGAAACCGAAGCTGTGTTTGGGCAGGAACCAAAGCATAGTTGGAACCGACAGGGCTGGGTTCCAGAAAAGCAGGGAGCGCCAGAACCCGGAGTCGGCCTCCTCCTCCACCTCGTGTGCCCCCTACCCTTGACAGCCCAGGCTGGCTGCGCCCCCATTGCCCTTTGCCAAGCTCACAGAATGATCCTGGAAACTCCCCTGAGGCCGACCCAGTGCTGGGCACAGGGGGAAGAGCCCAACTACAGGCACCAACTGGCATTTTATCTCCGCACCAGACTCTGGGCTCCTCGGGGCAGGGGTCAGATTGTTCCTCAACCCGGGATCTCCAGTGCCAAGCACAGGGCCTGGCCTGTAAGAGGCATTTAGTACAAGTTTGGGTTGCCTTGCATCCCACTCCCACCTGCTCCCACTCTCCCACTTCGGAGAGCCTGGATACCTCTTTTCTTCCTTCATGTCTGAGTCCCCACCATTGGTCACCTTTCGGGCTCAACTGGAAGAGCAAGGATTCTATTTTAGAGGTCGTCTTATTGGATGGAGAAGCTAACCCTTTCCCATTCTCCTGGCTCCATCAAGGAAGGGGTGGCAGACACCATCTTCTCACCATCCCTCCCCCCCCAACCCCTTATAAGCCTGGGCATTTCCCCCAGCCCATGGCAGACATCACCAATCGATCACAGCATGGGGAGCCCAGATCTTTCTCAGCACTGGTCAGGGTTGGCATGGAAGATGATGCTTCTTTGCCACACTGGGATTAAGCTATTCATGAGACGGGTATAAAGCCTAATGAGGTAATAACTGAGATATTTGTAAAAAAATTCCTCGGTAATTTTAATTTAGACTCTGGAGTAGGCCACTGCTTTGCCACAGGGAAGGCCAGACGTGGTGGGCCACAGAGGAAGGGAGGGCAGCCTAAATTGCCGGCCACAACATGGAAAGATCTCGAGGGCTACCCGATTAATAGTTTCTGAATAACTCAGGCAGCTAGCTCTCTGTACTTGAGGTTCTCATGTGCTGAAATTATTCCTCCTAAACCGCCCCACGAGGAGTACTTACTGCACATATTGTACGAATGTATAAAGCCTGAGTATATAAATGACAGGGAGACAAGCTCTGTCCAGAACGCTGAGCCAGCTCCCAGGATGGCAGGGGTGGCACGGCCTTCTGGAGAAGATCGCCAGACGCCGAGTTGGCCCGTATAACATCCCTCAGTCCTGACGGTTCCTCCTTCCTAGGACCACTGAGGTCATGCCTCCTGGGGTTGCCATGTCTCCCCCTCCCTAGGCTGGAGATTTCTGAATGGGCTGTGGAATGGGAAAGCGGGGGTGGGAGAGGGATCTTCCAAGCACTAGGGTCTTTGTGGGCAAAGAATTCCACTCGGCAAACAGTGTGGTCACTGCCCTTTGTAGGGCATCTTCATTTTGGGATAGGCATGAAATGGTAATGGTCAAACCCCCACCCCACCCCCACCACCTCCAGGCCTAGCACCACAGTGGGGGGAAGATGGGCAGGAGGTGGGGGAAGAAGTGTGCAAAGAGAAGGCCTGGATGGGTGGGGGTCCCAGAAGGACCTAAGCAGCAGGAGACCCCCACGCGTGGGCCTCAGGGCTGGTCAGCTCCCTCCCACCCAGGTGAGTCCAGAGGTGATGCCAGGGTGGTTCCCCCTCTGGGTACCAGGCTGGCCTCCCGAGTCCTGAGGCGCTGGCTGGGCACCCCACGGGGAAATGTCCTCCTCCAGGCATGACACCAAGCTGGGGACTACCAGCAGTCTGCAGGACGGATGACAGGGCCGCTGGGGAGAGGATGCTTTGATGCCCGCGCTCCATCGTGAGATACAAGTCAGGCCTGTGGCTACAAAGCCCTGAGCTGGGAATGTCCTGAGAGTCTCAGAGTGTCCAGAGGCTGAATCTTCATCCTCAGCCCCACGTGGCCTTCTGCCCTCCGCCCTGGGCCCTGTCCATTCCTTCAGCTCCAACGCCTCCGCCACAGGACCACGGCTTCTGCCTGGACGCAGGGAGCAGAGTCATGCCCCGTGAGCCAAAAGGGGCAGGAGAGCTGGCAAGAAAGAACAGCAGTGAGGGCGGGGCAGACCCCGGGAGAGTAAGTATCCACCATGAGCTGTTTCACACCAGGGCTTCCCAACCTTCTCCACAGCAGGGGAAAGCAGAAAATAGTATGTGTGCCACACACCGTGATCCACACCTGCTTCCTCCTAGCCCCCCTGAGGCCCAAGGGACCAATAGGGGTCAGTTCTCAATACAGCACGTCTGCCTTCAGCCCAAGCTCTCAGCTAACCCTCACTACAGTCAGCAGGAGGGCCAAAGGGGTAGATGGCACCAGATGGGGCTCCCAGGCGCCCTGGGACTCTATTTGTTAAGGTGGGGAAGCTGGAGGGCTGGAGGCTGAGGGAGTGTGGGAGGTGGTAGTGAGGGCCAGGGGGGTATGGGTGTCCACCCGAGAAATGAAAACCTGAGTGGTATAAATCCTTCCCCGGTCCCGCTCCTAGTTCCCACGGGGAGGGAGGGGCATCTGGGGAAGAGGGCACAGGGCTGGGAGCCAGAGCTTCTAGGTTCTATTCCTGGTCCCTCCCCTGGGCCTTCCTGACCACAAATCCGCCCCTCACCCCCTGCCCTACTGCTCAAGGAGGATTAAGACCTCACAAATAACAAATCCTGACCCCATCCTGCACCCGTTCCCCCCACACACACCCCAGGTGCCCACCCCCTTCTCCAGCCTCTTCTTCTCTGGCCCAGCTGGGCACTAGCTGGCACTCAGGGGCAGGTGGGCAGGCCCACTCCCCCTTGGCATCAGTGGCCCACTCTCCAACACCTCTGGTCTGCCAGCAGCTTGGCCCTAGGACCCAATACCCACTGTCAAGAATGGGTAGTGGAGTCCTGGCCCAGCCTAGTCAGACCCTCCCCCTGAGGCCCCACCTTGGGAGCTGGGTTCTGTGCCCAACCCCTAATGACTCTGCTAACTGAAGGAGGCTACCTTTCTGCCCCAATTCCACGCTCAAACTCTTCTATGTAGACTGTTGATCCTAGCACAAGGAGGGGCAAACTTCAGTTCATCCCACCCCTGGCTCTCCCCAGCTCCCTGAAAGCCATGGTGGGGAAAGCCTCAAGGGAATATTCAGGCCAGCCTCCCTCCACCGGAGCCAGGGCAGAAGCAACCTGATAGGGAGGCCCATCCCTCCTATCTTTCTTTCTGCCACCTGGGTCACATAGGACCCTCCTGCCTGAAAGCCGGAGGGCAATGTCCAGCTCTTGGGCCCCCTTGCTCAGACTCCTAAGCTCCTACTCTTTGTTGGCCCTAGCATGGTTCAGCTTTGAAGTGGAATGCTGGTGGGAGTCCCGCATTTTCTCCGTAGGGGCAAGAGAAGGGAGAGAGGAGAGAAAGAGGGTTCGGTCCCCAAGGGGCTTACCTGACCTGACATCTGGGACCCACGTGGTGGGGAGGGTGCGCAGCATGAAGGTAAGATGGTAAGCCGGGGGGGTTTAGGACACGAGGGTCCCAGCCCCGAGGCTCTGCCTGGCCCGCACTGTCTGGATGGCCTGCTGGTTCTTGAACTTGACCAGGCCCAGGGTGATCTGGGCGTTCCAGCCAGGATCCTCGAGGGGGCAGCGGAAGTCGATCTCGCCGCCGCCCTCGGTCACCAGCGTGAAGTAGATGTGGCGCCCGGTGCTCTCCACGCATTCCACGGCCTTGATGCGGGCGAAGCTGAGCTCCTTGGGCCGGCCGCCCGTGCCCTTGGCCTCGAAGAGCTGCAGCCCGCGCTCGGTGAGCACACAGCGCTTCCGCTTCCACAGCTGCAGCAGCCCGCCGCTGCGCTTCTCCAGCACGCCCTCCTTGAGCACCGTCGCCGCCGCCGTCATGGGCGCCCCGAGGTCCCGGGCAGGCTGTAGGCTGCGGTGGGCGCGGCGCCCTTCCCCGCTCGGCCGCGCCGGATTCTGGCG